GTGGTCCCTGTGCTTTGCTAAGCTTATTCTAAATAGGTGCTTTAGACCACTGAGCCATCTCACCAGCCCTCTCATCACCCTTTAAGACTGAGAACACTGCACCCTTAAGTCTCTATTGCCCTAAACCTGTGGTCACCTTGGATTTCAGCTGAGCCTCACATGACTGAGACTACCCCTCATATCAGAATAATTCCTCCCATGAGAACTAGATTGCCCCTCAAGTCATGAGATTCTTCCCTACAGAAATGAACTGCCCTTCAGGTCAGGAAGATGCAACCTGTGCTGGAAACCAGGACTAAGATAATAACTGATGAGACCTTGGTCCACTTCAGCTGACCTCCTGCACCTGTGGGCACAGCAATCTGATCATCGTCATCACAGTGTGCCCCCTCCAGCTACTCAAGGTGGAGTCTTTTCTTTCTCTTCTCTTCCAATTAAAGCTTTGCCAATTCATACTGTCACTTGCATTGTAATTTCTCTACAGTCACTAAAACAAGGACCCATGCTAGCCAGGGACACTATTTTGTTAGTCCTAAGAACACTGCAGGAACCTAAATCTGAATGAACAGATTCAGCAATGAATGAGATAGTCCCTGCTCCTAAAATGTTCGCAGACTAATGGCCACTTTTTCTTCCTGGACTTCATTTCCTTTCTTTCTAAACTGAAAAAGTCTGGACTGAGGCCTAAAGACTCTGTCACCGACCAACTCGTAGTATAACTCTTCTGGAGATCCTGTTCCTACCCCTCCAACCATCCAGAATGGCCTCCAGGTCTCCCCCCTTGGGATCCCCTTGAAGAGTACAGGCAGTTGGACTCCCCTCTCCATACCATGCAGTCCATGAGGATGAATTTGAGATTGTCTTCATTAAACGCTTGGTTCCCGTTTCGGTCGTAGGCGGCCCAGATGTTACTGGCAATGGCCGCAGTGACCCGGGCGTCCGTGTCGCCATAACCCGAGTAGGCCAGGAGCGATCCCTCGTTATTCAGAAGCCTGGCGAGGGGCGGGGAGGGACATTGACACAGTCACGGGGAAAAGCAAAACGCCCAGGTTCCTATCCCAACTCCTACCACCGGCACTTCTAGGAAGGAAGGGCTGGGCTGTTCCTTGGAACATGCCCTAAGCACTGAACACACTGGCTTCCCTTTTGAAGAGGGGCCCTTGAGGCCGGCTCCCCCAGCAGCTGCCTGCCTGGCGTCCTTCCCTGTTCCTCCCGCAGACAGCCGTGCACCGCCCCACTCCACTGTTCGCCGCTCAGGTCCTCCGTGCGAACTCACAGGGTGCTCTGAACGCCTCCCGTGTTGGCTTGGCTGAGCACCTGGGTCAATGCTTTGGGACGCAGCATGCCTGTGGTTCCTAACCCTGGGCTTCTGATCCCCAGAGGGGCCTCCTGCCGGTCTCTGCCAGCCGTTTCCGCAGACCAGCGGCCCCAATCTGCCGTGTCCCGGGAGTCGTAGCGTTCCAGCTCGGCCCCCGTAGTGGCCACACAACCTGGCCTGCGCGAGGGGCGCTGGGATTTGTAGTTCTTTTTTGGCCTCGCAAGGCTCCTTGGGAACTATAGTTTGTCTTTCCAGTCAGGCCACCCGCCTATGAAGCAAAAGAGCGGGAGTAAAAGGACAGTGGCTGTATTGGAAGGACGCTTAACCCCTTCGGGAAAAGGAAGGAATCATTTCTACTAGTCATTTCACGGTTCAATAGTTGTTTTTTTTTAAAGCTCGTATTTGTTAGGCACAACTTTGGTTACTTTTCAAAGCATGCTATGCACACTTCTGGAAGAAGCGAGAAGAGCTATTGAGGAAATCAAGGCTCAGAAAAGACATGTAGGCAAAACGCCCAGGTTCAGATCATCCGGGCCACTGCCCGCGGGTGCACAGGTCCGCCCTCGAGAGGATCTGCGATGGCAGCCCGTGGTGGGAAAACCAGCCTCCAAGGAGCAAGGCTTGGGACCTGGGGGGGAGGGGAGAGTCAGGCCTCCCACAAAGGCAGAGTTGTCTCAGAGAGCATAGATAGCGCGGTGACACGGAGAGTCCTTTGTCCCAGAGCACAGTGAGCCGTAGAGGTCGCCAGCCAGAGCCCGCCCCCCTACCCGACAGGGCGACACACCGGCCCTCCGGCGGACCCCGCTGCAGTTCCCCCCCAGGCCGCCCGGGGCGCTGTGGCCGCGGCTGGCCCGGAGGGGGCGGTGCAGCTTCGGCGAGTCGAGGGGAGAGGGTGTCGGAGCGCCAGGGCTGAGCTCTGCCGGGCGGGTGGGGGAGAGGAGGAGGAGGAGGAGGAGCCGGGCGGGCTGGCGGGCGGCCGGGTGGCGGCGGCGGCATGGCGGAGCCGAGCGGGGCCGAGGCGAGGCCCCCTATTCGGGTCACCGTCAAGACCCCCAAGGACAAGGAGGAAATTGTGATCTGTGATCGAGCCTCAGTCAAGGAGGTAGTGCGGGGGGAGGAGGACCGAGGAGTGCGGAGGAGGGGTCGGCGGGGTGGGGGGGACCTGGTCGGCCCCAACGGGAGGCGGGAGGGGAGAGGGGGAAGCGGGCGTCCTTCGAGGAGAGATCTGTGGAGCGTGGCGCGTATTGGGGCGCGGGTTTGACTGTGCTGCCAGGGCTGGGGGCGTGGTGGAGAGTGGGCAGAGTGCGCAGTGCACCGGACGGCGATAGGACCCTGGGT